ATACCGTCTCACCCTGACATTACTGGCACTCAGCGAAAAAACAACAACAACAAAAAAAAAAAAAAAAACAGAAAATAATAAATGTTGAAGACGTTTCGGGGAGATTGGAACTCTTATGCACTGCTTGTAGGAAAGTAAAATGGTACAATCACTATGGAAAACGATATGTTGCCTCCTTAAAAAGCTAGAAATAGAAATACCATACAATACAGCAGTTCCACTCCTAGGAATATATCCTAGAGAAATAAGCATCATCACATAAATAGATATGGGCATATTCATGCTCATTAGAGCATTACTCACAATAGCAAATATGGAAATAGCCTAACTTCCCAACAACAGATGAATTGATGAAAAATTATGGTACATACATACAAAGGAATACTATGCAATGATAAAGAACAGTGAAGAATCCATGAAACATCTCACAACATGGATTAATCTGGAGGATATTATGTTAGTGAAAAAAAAGTCAATCAAAAGTGACAAATATTGTATAAGAACACTATCATAAAAACTCAAGAAAACTTTTACACGCAGGAAAAATATCTTTGATAGTTATGAGGCAGGGGAGGGGAAATCACTAACTAGACAATAGATAAGTGTTAGCTTTGGCAAGGGGAAACACAAAACACAATATAGGGGAAGTCAGGACAACTTGACCAAGGCAAAATCATAGAAGCTTCATAGACACATCCAAACACATTGAGGAACTGAGTTGCTGGGGCTGAGGGCTGGGGACCATGGTCTCAGGGGACATCTAAGTCAGTTGGCATAATATAGTCTGCAAAGAATATGTTCCACATCCTACAGTATTGATTAGCATCTAGGGTATTAAAAACTTGGGAATGGCCAGCTAAGATACATACAGTGGTCTCATCCCCTACGGAGCAAAGGAGAATGAAAAAAATAAGAGAAAAATATTAGTCCAAAGGACTAAGGGACTACCTGAACCACTGCCTTTACCAGCCTGAGCCTAGAAGAACTAGATGGTGCCCGGCTCCAACCTCTGATTTCTCTGATAGGGACCACAATAGAGCGGGAGAAAAATGTAGAACAAAATTCAAATTCCAAAAAGAAGACCAGACTTACAGGTTTGACAGAGAATGGAGGAACTGCTGAGACTATGACCTCTGGTATCCCACTGACTCAAAACAGAAGCCATTCTTGAATTCCACCTTTCAGCCAAAGATTAGACAGTCCAGTAAAACAAACAATAACGCACGTTAGGAACGTGCTTCTTAGTTCAGTGAAGACCAAATGAGTAACACCTAAACAAAATCAAAGATGATAAGGCAGGAAGGGACAAGAAAACAGGATGAATGGACAAGAGAAACCTGGGTTGGAAAGGGGGAGAGTGCTGATACATTGCAAGGATTGCAACAAATGTCACAAAACAACTTGTATATAAATTTTTAGAATGAGAAATTAATTTGCACTGTAAAATTTCATCTAAAGCACACAGAAACACAACAAAAAATATTTCAGTTAAAAAAAAATTCCAATTCAATCTTATGTACCCTTTCATCAGTAGCTGGAGACCTACTCTAACAATCAGCTCCAGGTTTGCAAGGAGAACAGGAACAGAGCCAGGAGATAAAGTTTGCATTATATTGTGTCCTCTATATACAGATGGGAAAACTAAAGCTATGCTCAGAGCACCTCAATCCTTTGCCCTTCTCTGTAGCATTAAGATATGGAACAGCTATGACTGGAATTCAGTCAGCCCATATTACCAATCACAAACATGGGCCAGCCCAGCCCCAAGCTCTTCACCACTTATATAATGTTACATAATGTTCATTCCTTCCGTTATTTCATGTCACACATTTTCTTAAAGTAATTTACTAGTTTTGGGAGAGCATGAAATATACACCGAAAAACTTACACCAGTTGAACTATTTCTGCATGTACAATTCAGTAACATTTATTACAGTTTTTAAGTTTTGCAAACATTTTCAATATCCCTTTCCAAATGAATCCTCTTCTATTATCATAAAATAACTGCCTTTAAAGCTTCTCATTTAATCTTCCAAGTTGTCATCAATTTGATCACATATAGATTATTCTTTGAAAGAAAACAATGCTCAAGGCAGACACTTTTTACTAATTAAGCTAAAGTATTGTTTGGTTAAAAAAGAAACTTTAAGGTATAGTTTTGTTTTAAGACTTCAAGTTTATTATAAAAATGGAATATATTTAATCCAGGTGATCTTCATACTGTTAATAAGAAGAATGTCACAAGTTTGTAAGTTCTTCCATGACACAAACAATATTTAATGTCATCTCCAATTGAGTAGCAGCTTTTTTAATAATAAAAGGAAACTAGAATAAATCAAAATACCCACCAGCAGGTGACTAGTTAAACAAATTGTGGTGTAAGAAAACACAATAATGAAATAGTGAGCATTAAAATCAATTCATGCTTGATAGACACACCAATATGGATTCATTCCCATATAAGTATGTTGAGTGAAAGAAGCTAAACAAATTACATAATACTGTCTTTTAACATTTATATATAACTACAGTATGGAATAAGAAATACTATGGGAACTACTTGTTTAGCCCATCACACATGATAAGAAATAATTTATCCTGAATGCTTTCAATGCTGCAAAACTCCTCTAGGACACTCGTGTCTGCTGTGGGGTATGGTGGTCCTCTTTGAAGTCACCCAACCACAGAGATCACTATATAGTAAAAGGACAAGCATACAGGGCCCCTCCCTCTGCTTATGAGTACTAGCCTAGCCTCAACCCTGCAGCTCTGAGAGGAATCCCAGCCCTGGAACTTTTAGGTGTCTGCATTCTGTGATCTGGACTGAACACAAGAGTCAGCATGGACTTTGAGCTGAGTTGGGTTTTCCTTGTTACTATTTTGAAAGTCATTTTAGGAAGAACAGGAGATATTGAGCATATGAGTATGCCTGGGAGAAACAGTGGATATGTGTGATGGTTTCCCTGACCAGTATGTCTATGTGTTTGCAGGTGTCCAGTGTGAGGTGTAGTTGGTGGAGTCTGCTGGAGACATGAGGCAGCCTGGAGAGTCTCTGAACCTCTCCTGTGACGCCTCTGGATTCACTTTCAGTAGTTACTGGATACACTGGGTTCACCAGGCTTCAGGGAAATAGCTTTACTAGGTTGCACGAATTAACCCTGATAATTGTACTAAGGGAACAATTGTGGTGTGGTGGTTAAAGCGCTTGACTATTAACCAAACAGTTGGAGGTTAGAAACTACTAGCCACTCTGAGGGAGAAAGATGTGTCAGTCTACTTGCTTAAAGATTACAGCCTTGGAAACCCTATGGGGCAGTTCTACCCTGTCCTACAGGGCTGGACTCTATAAGTCATGAGTTTAATGGTACAAAGTACTATGCACATCCCGTGATGGTACGATTCGCCATCTCCAGAGACAATTCCAAGAACACACTTCACCTGCAAATGGACAGTCTGAGAGCTGAGGGCACAGTTCTGTATTACTTTTCAGCAGAAATCACTGTGAGCCCAGACACAAATCTCCCTGCAGGGAGGGGACTGGGCTCCAGGGAGCACTCAGGACATGTGGAGCACAGTATTTACATGCAGGAGCAGGTGTAGATGCAGTTTAAGGGCTGGTTTCCTGTTATGTTCTGGGGATTCTTCTCCATCTAACCATTTCCCCAGGGAATCTTTCTATTTTTATTATTCTGTGTCTACCCTTGGAATCTCTGAATTTAAGGTGTATTATAACAGGTACAAACATTTTCACATGCAGAAAATAGCACTCTGTCCCTTGTGTAGGGGACGTAACTCTTCCAGGGGTCCCAGGATCAGAGTTCTGAAGAAGCTCAGAGAAATCTGTAGATTATTTTCTTTTAATTCTCAGGGCAGATGGAGTCCCTGGGGGGCACAAACGTTGAAGCATTGACTACTGGCTGTAAGGTTGGTGATTCAAACCTACCCAGTGACACCTTGGGAAATAGACTTGGTGATCTGCTTCTAAAGGTCAGACTCAAGGCACAGTCTGCCTGACCCTCAGTGGAATTTCCCAAATAGAATACTATTTGGGATTCAGGTTCGAGCCAAGACGGTGGCTAGGTCAGGGTCAGTAACATATAAAAGCAATATAAGGTTCATATTTGACCCTCCTGCATGCACAGGAGTGTGCATCTCAGACTCAGCAATTGTCTGGAGTCTCTTTTTCCTAGCCTATTTTTCTCTTTAGTGCAGCAAGGACCCCTAATTCATGGTTTTTATGTAGTTTATATTTGCCTGTGCTAGTAGGATCATATTACCAATGACTTTGTTAAAGAGCATATGTTAGTCTGGGTCCTCCAAGATGAAAATACCAAGTCAAGATTAAGTTCGAGTGGAATTTACTGTGGAAACAACTGCTCGAGTTAAACTGCAGAGAAGGCCTGTGAGACTGGAGGAGCAGTCAGCACACAAAATAAGTCTGACCTTGAAGGGAGAGAGAGATGGAAGGGTGAGTGTGTCTTTTCCAAGCTGCTGTGGCAGTCCATGGCAACTCCAGGAAGACCATCGGGCGTCCTCAATGCAAAGTCACCTTTCAGAGGAGCCCATGTCTCTCAAGAATGGGCCTGACTTAATATGGCTGCTGCTCCTAAACCATGGGTGGGAGTAGCCCTCTGAACTTGAGGCCCTGTACAAACCTAGTGATGGATTTCAGAGCCCAGAGTTGGTCCTGTGGTTCATTAGGTAAGCTCACTGTGTTTGGAAAAATGGGAATCATATTCTCAGTGCCGACACACTACAGCTTTCTATATAAGAATAAATATGGTCCTATTTGATTCTCTTGAAAAACACATAAATGTTTGGGAAATGTTTGCTTTCTTGATTATATTGAAATTGATGTTTGCTCAACCTAGTGACATTTTCAAGTGTAATGACTTCAAATCTTGTTTCTTATCAATGTCCCTGTCCTCTACTCCTGGAAATTTCACTATATGTAGTGAAGATCATCTCACTCTACCCTCCTTAGTTCTTAACCTCTTCTCTATATTTTCTATTTTTCTCTTTGTGGTGAATGTTGGATTCTATATTCCATATCATAATACAAATAATTGCCTGTCTCTTTTTAGACGTTCAATTAGAGTTAACATCTCCATTTGTGTTTTCAAGAGGAAATGGACAAAATTTGTGTAAATAAATATTTTCATAATCAATAGAGATATGGACACAGAACACTTCATCCTGTGGACACTACTGAGTGGTTCGTTTGCTTAAACACAAGATAAAGGTGGGAGGACTCCATCAATGCCAAGAAAAAATTCAAAATTAAAATGATGGAATAATTTTTATAAGAGTCACAGAGATTATTCCCTTAATGTCTTGTTCATTGCTCTGGAAAAGAAGAGAGTAACACACACTAGCCTGTCTTCTGTTGCTGATGAGATGAAAACTGGGCAGGAATTGCTGACACTGGCAACTCAGCCCCATAAAATCAAAATAGGAATATTGCATGTTTGCAAATCTTTAGGTTATCATATATAAAAAATTCATGATTTTTTTTAAATGATGAATCTGTGAAGCATTTCATAACATGGATGAAACTGCAGGACATTATGCTGAGTGAAATAAGTCAATCACAAAAGGACGAATATTGTATGAGACCTCTATTGTAAAAACCCATGAAAAAGTTCACACACAAAATGTAACAATCTTTGTTGGTTACCAGGGATGGGAGGGGTGGGGGGAAATACTAAATAGGCAAAAAATAAGTGGTATCTGGGGTGAAAGGTGAGACAGTACACAATACAGAGGAAACCAGCACAACTTGTACAAGGAATGGTCATGGAAGCTCCTTAGACACATCCAAACTCCCTGAGGGACTGAATTGCTGGGTGGAGGGCTGTGGGGACCATGGTCTCGGGGAATATCTAGCTCAATTGGCATAAGACAGTTTATAAAGACAATGTTCTACATTCTACCTTGGTGAGTATCATCTGGGGTCTTAAAAGCCTGTGAGCAGCTATCTAAGATACTCCTCTGTCTCACTCTTTTGGGAGAAAGGGAAAATGAAGAGAACAGGATACAAGGAAAAGATTAGTCCAAAGTAATAATGGACCACAGTTACCAAGATCTCCACCAGACTGAGTCCAGTACCGCTAGATGGTGCCCGGCTACCACCACTGACTGCTCTGACCAGGATCACAACAGAGGGTTCTGGGCAGAGCTGAAGAAGGATGTAGAACAAAATTCTAACACACACACATGAAAGACCAGATTTACCGGCCTAAAGGAGACTGGAGAAACCCTGAGAGTATGGCCCCCAGACACCCTTTTAGCTCAGTGGTGAAGTCATTTCTGTGGTTCACCGTTTAGCCTGGAAGTGGACAGCCCCATAAAACCAAATGGGACTAATAAGGTACAGCAGTCCAGGGACAAGGGCCAGAAGGCAGACAGGGACAGGACAGCTGGTGATAGGGAACCCAAGGTGGAGTAAGGATATTGTTGATGTATTGTGAGGTTGTTAACCATTGTCATAGGGCAAAATTTGTACTAACTGTTAAATGAAAAACTATTTTGTTCTGTAAGCCTTCATCTCAAGTGAGAATAGCAGCACAATTGGAAGAGCGTAGTCGATGTCACTGAAATGTGCATGTGGAAATTTTTGAAATGGTGTCTCTTTGGCTATGTTTATTTTCACCAAAAAAAAAAAAAAAAACGGTCGAGAAGGGAGAGGGTTGGCATGTTGTGGGGTAGTTAACTAATGTCATAAAACAATATGTGTACTACTGTTGCATGAGAAACTATTTGTTCTGTAAGCCTTCACCTGAAGTACAATTAAAAAAAAAAAAGTATAATGTCATGAAACTCCGTGTGGGCTAGGCAATCAGAAGACATCTTAGTTAATATTGAATACCTAAGCTTATGCCTAAGTGAACTGACCCAGGTGTATCTGGATGAGGTGGACCCAGAAACCAGGAATGGTCAAAGTCCCTTTGGCTTACTGTGAAGTCTCTGGATTCTCTTTAGCAGATGTTATGCTAATATCTCTTTCACTGTGTTAAGTTTTATCAATCAGAATCTCTTAATCTATTGCTGTGCATAATGAGGAGTCAGTTCATTATTGTCTTTCTTGTGAATTATGATAATGTTTAATTTTTGACTTCGGTATTTAATTTCTGACTTCTATTTTCTGCAACTTCTTTATTCAAGATTTGTATTTACTGAGTTTTTTGTTGTCTTTAATATTAATTAAATTATCTATTTACATTACCCATACTTGCCCTTAATTTATTACCTATCAGCGTATGACCATGTCTTCCATTCTTCCCACACTTTGTTTAGAGATTACAATGTGTCCTGTAGAGCATTTTCTCCCACGGTCCATAGGAAATCCGTGTCCAATGCCAAAACTTGATATTGAGCTTTTGAGAGGAATTATCATGTTTCATCCACCATTACATTTACAGAACCAAGTCTATCCCACTCTGCTTTCAGTTAAACTATAGTTATTTTTTTAAGGTGATTCATTGATAGAATGAGTAAACACTTGGTTCATTTTTAAGTATCAAGTAAAAATATATATGAAGGCCTTGAAGAAAGTTCATAAGTTAAAGTTGCTCATCTCTGACATTTCCTCCTGTCCAGATGACTTCTAAGAAATCTCTGATTGGTAACCTCAAGACCATAAGAGTTAATGGATCATTGACCAACAGACCACATCTTAGGGTGCAGATAGACTTGAGACTTGGGTGGGAAACCATGAGGTTGGCTCAGAGACATTATATCTAGGGCTCTCCTATCATTGAGTCATTTCTACTTCTGAAAGATTTGGGTAGAAATTGAGGTAGTCATTATATACTGAGTGTTCTTCTCTATTCTGGTCCACAATAGAGGTGTTCAACCTCTGTGGAGCTACCTTTGTGGGGGTATCCTGGATGACATTATGGTTTTTGTCCCCAAAAAGACACCTATATTTTCTTGACTTCTTGCTGACTTCACTACTCCTACTTCCATACAGTAGGTATCTCTCTGCAACTATAACTAACTTTCTGGCATATAAGAAGAGTTAAATGAATGGTGAGTACATTGTCACACTTGGTAGGTCCCCATAAGACACCTTGACTCTACCGAGTACACCAATTGCACACCATTCCCTAGCCAAGGGACTATTCTCATGGAAACTTAATGAGGTAGCACATCTTCCTGTGGATGTCTTTCCTGTCCTGCATCTTCTTACACCGTGTTTCATTTTTTCTAAGCCAATACCTCAAGTTATTCTATCACAAACCTCTTCTGTTTGTGATTTATTGAAGCCATTCTCATGATTATCAGTCTTCCATACCCTTGCCAATTTAATCACATTCTTTTCTAGTTCTACAAAATAATATTATCCCAGCTTCCTCTAAAGTAATTATGCTTACCTGCTGCATGCTTCAGAAGAAGTGGCAGAATTAATTCCCCCATTGCTTCTCAGTTACCAGCAAAATAATTATCCCCAAACCTTATAGAGTTCAATATGTGTTCTTGGTTTATTTCAAGCATGTATGTTCCCTTAGTCTCTCCACTTTTCTCTCATCATAGCTCTCCCAAATATATTTTGATGATGTGATGACTTGGATCATAGCTCCTGATTTTCTCCTTAATCT